CATCCCCTCCGGGCGTGCCGACTTGCAGCTGCTGGGTGGCGTGAACACTTCCTGGTCGCTGATGGCCAGCTGGAGGTCAAAGCAGTGGGTAGAGGTAGTGACGCTTCTGTTCCTGGTGGAGGTCTCCTGGAGGGGGTAGCAGTCCTTCACCGTGTACACGCCCACCCACACCTCATCTGGTGTAGCGGGGAGTGGCAGAGGTAGGATTAGGATTTACTTTGTCCCCCAGGGGAAATTCGTACATTCAAAAGTGCTTCCCTTCCACATAACATATTAAAGGTTATAAACATACACTCCCCTATGTATTTATTTGGACAGTGAAGCTAAAACATTTAATTTGGCTCTATACTCCAGTATTTTGGATTTAAGATAAAATGTTTTATGAGGCGTATAGAATCTCACCTTTTATTTGAGGGTGTTTTCATAAATATCTGTTTTACCATTTAGAAATGAAAGTACTTTATGTATCTAGTCCCCCCATTTGAAGGTGTCATAAGTATTTGGACAAATTCACTTGGTGTATTAAAGTAGTGAAGTTTAGTATTTAGTCCCATATTCCTAGCACGCAATGACTACATCAAGCTTGTGACTCTACAAACTTGTCGGATTCATTCGCAGTTTGTTTTGGTTGTGTTTTGGATTATGTTGGGCCCAATAGAAATTAATCGTAAATAATGTATTGTGTCATTTTGGAGTCACTTTTATTGTAAATAAAAATAGAATATGTTTCTGAACACTTCTACATTAATGTGGATGCTCCCATGATTACGGATAATCATGAATGAATTGTGAATAATGATGAGTGCGAATGTTGCAGAGGCACACTTACAGTGGGGAAAAAAGTATTTAGTCAGCCACCAATTGTGCAAGTTCTCCCACTTAAAAAGATGAGAGAGGCCTGTAATTTTCATCATAGGTACACGTCAACTATGACAGACCAATTGAGATTTTTTTTCTCCAGAAAATCACATTGTAGAATTTTTAATGAATGTATTTGCAAATTATGGTGGAAAATAAGTATTTGGTCACCTACAAACAAGCAAGATTTCTGGCTCTCACAGACCTGTAACTTCTTCTTTAAGAGGCTCCTCTGTCCTCCACTCGTTTCCTGTATTAATGGCACCTGTTTGAACTTGTTATCAGCATAAAAGACACCTGTCCACAACCTCAAACAGTCACACTCCAAACTCCACTATGGCCAAGACCAAAGAGCTGTCAAAGGACACCAGAAACAAAATTGTAGACCTGCACCAGGCTGGGAAGACTGAATCTACAATAGGTAAGCAGCTTGGTTTGAAGAAATCAACTGTGGGAGCAATTATTAGGAAATGGAAGACATACAAGACCACTGATAATCTCCCTCGATCTGGGGCTCCACGCAAGATCTCACCCCGTGGGGTCAAAATGATCACAAGAATGGTGAGCAAAAATCCCAGAACCACACGGGGGGACCTAGTGAATGACCTGCAGAGAGCTGGGACCAAAGTAACAAAGCCTACCATCAGTAACACACTACGCCGCCAGGGACTCAAATCCTGCAGTGTCAGACGTGTCCCCCTGCTTAAGCCAGTACATGTCCAGGCCCGTCTGAAGTTTGCTAGAGTGCGGGAGAGAATGTCATATGGTCAGATGATACCAAAATATAATTTTTGGGTGAAAACTCAACTCGTCGTGTTTGGCGGACAAAGAATGCTGAGTTGCATCCAAAGAACACCATACCTTCTGTGAAGCATGGGGGTGGAAACATCATGCTTTGGGGCTGTTTTTCTGCAAAGGGACCAGGACGACTGATCCGTGTAAAGGAAAGAATGAATGGGGCCATGTATCGTGAGATTTTTAGTGAAAACCTCCTTCCATCAGCAAGGGCATTGAAGATGAAACGTGGCTGGGTCTTTCAGCATGACAATGATCCCAAACACACCGCCCGGGCAACGAAGGAGTGGCTTCGTAACAAGCATTTCAAGGTCCTGGAGTGGCCTAGCCAGTCTCCAGATCTCAACCCCATAGAAAATCTTTGGAGGGAGTTGAAAGTCCATGTTGCCCAGCGACAGCCCCAAAACATCACTGCTCTAGAGGAGATCTGCATGGAGGAATGGGCCAAAATACCAGCAACAGTGTGTGAAAACCTTGTGAAGACTTACAGAAAACGTTTGACCTGTGTCATTGACAACAAAGGCTATATAACAAAGTATTGAGAAACTTTTGTTATTGACCGAATACTTATTTTCCACCATAATTTGCAAATAAATTCATTAAAAATCCTACAATGTGATTTTCTGGATTTTTTTTCCTAATTTTGTCTGTCATAGTTGACGTGTACCTATGATGAAAATTACAGGCCTCTCTCATCTTTTTAAGTGGGAGAACTTGCACAATTGGTGGCTGACTAAATACTTTTTTCCCCCAGTGTATCTATGTAGAGGTGCCATGCTTTCAAAGACTGTTTCAATCACCAGTAAAAACAGCCACCATAGTGAACAACACACCAAGTCTTCCTCCTGTATCATACAATCCAATGCATTTATTGACTCAGGTCTTACACTTTAAATTCAAACTCAACTGACACTTGTAACTTATCAATCAAAGCTTAATTTGCACTTTCAACTAGCTTCTTGTGTCCATTTTTGTAGCTCAATCATTTACAAAGGAAATAATGTTTTCATTATTTTAGTCTGTCACACTCTTTCATACCTGGAGAATGGAGCTGGAGCATGGACACGGAAACACAACTCAGTTCATAGTGCAGTCCAGACAGCAACTCCTAACACATTTTGAAATCAGATGTCATTTGTGAGAAGAAACTTCCGTAGAGCAATGTCTTGAAAGCAGCCTTTTTAATGTCTTGAAAGTAGACTTCTCAATGTCTTTGAGAACATTCCTATATAGCATATTCCTTTCAAATCTTATCCACTTGCCATTCTTTATATCCAAACCGGCTTTTTAGTGTAGTAATGTTATTTATGCTGGCTCGAGCAACATTAAACTGACCAATGAGGTAGGCTAAGTAGTTTCACTTCCTGGTTGACACCTGTCATGTGATGTCACCCAATTCAGGGTCATATTCATTAGCTCACACCATAGTGAAATGTTATAAAACATTTAACAGAAATTGAAAACAAGTGGCTCTTATTGGACAAGTCCAGGTAGTCCCTTCGCGTTTCAGTCTGTTTTCTCCCATTTGGTGTCTAATGACCATGACCCAGGAGACACACTGGAGTTCAAAGATCTTTTGAAATTGCACAAATGACAACATGCTTTAACAATTCACACTCTTACGATTCAACTCCAATGTTGATATAAAACTGTGCTCTGTACAAACATCTTACATTTAAGGCAGAAGGTTTTTTCCAAAGCTTTGACGAGGGTTGTTCTTGTCCCAAAAAACACTAATCTCTTCACACGTCAAGGTTTTTTAACAACCACCACTATCTCATTCCGAAGGTCTTCTTTCCGTGAATGGAAAAGACATCAAAATTGTTACGGGCGACATGAGTGACACCGGTTGTGCGTTGGTATAATTAGGGGCTAAGTAAAGAATGCAGAGGAGACAGCTCAGTTAGCTCCCTGCCACATTCAATACATCAGAAATGTAGAAATAAAAAGAACAGAATGGGCGACCTTGTTAAAAGGAATCGTTGACTGTCAGCAATACTGTTACGGTACCAACGCAAAACCCATATCTAGTTGGGTCATCAACGCCTTAAGAAATACTTACATGTGCCCATTCTAATCATTGTATTTCTACGCCTTACATCCTTTTTTCCTCCAGCCAAAACTCTCTATACTAGCTCCATCTCTCGGTCTGTACCATGGCATTTAGTACACTGCACAAACTTTGATTTGTAGTGCTCTAGCATTAGCATTCTTCCAGCTTCACAGAGCCACCACACAGACAACTCATTGACTGCGTTTAGACAGACAGCCCAATTCTGATCTTTTTTTTCACTAAATTTGTCTTTTGACCAATCAGATCAGCTCTGAAAAAGATCTGATGTGGAAAGATCTGATGTGATTGATCAAAAGGGCAATTAGTGAAAAACGCAGCCCAGGTGCAATCTGTGCAACACCCTCTCCTCCACCACTACTTCAGAGCCACCACACAGAACTCTAGACACCAGAGCATTACACTCAAATAGCTGTGTCAAATCAGAGTTTAAAAGCCTGGTGAATAAAAACAACTCTTTATTATATATCTATACATATATATAAATTAACAATATACATTTTCAATAAATACTCTGGTGGCTGTGTGATCACTCACATACGTCATCATAATACTTTTTTAAAGTCCTTTCTGAAAATGAAATTGAAAGTAGGTAAGTGCCAGATAAGATTTTTTTTTGTAACTTGCATAGAAAAATGAGTGAAGCGTAAAACGTTTGATCAGTTCACTTGATTGAGGCAGGGAGCGGTAGGAGAGGCTTTTCAAAAAGCAGCAGTAGCAGCCTGGAAATATGTCCGCCAATATGAACTAGGACATGGTGACTCCCTCTATAGGTCGGACGATGCCGGCTCCACCATCTCAGAGAGATAGAGGACAGATTTGTAAGTCGCTTTGGATAAGAGCGTCTGCTAAATGATGTAAATGGTATTATGTGTTTCAATAGCCCACAACACACATCTGATTATACCCTGCCTTCAAATATCAACCTTCACCAAGACGTCATCCGACTAAGCTGTCAGATCTTGCATCATGGCAGATCATTGACCATCAATCTTCTGTTGAGCACACGCTTAATGATGTCACACCTCAAGACCTTCTTATGGAGATCTATCTTTTCAGGATCGCTTGCTCACTCTGTAGCTCGGTCAATCTCAATCAGGCCTCAACTCATCGAGACAAATTTAAAATGCAATATCAAACTGTACTTAAATCTTCCAGACAGCTGAGAACCCAACCCAGAAGCACAAGGCAAAAAACAAAAAAAACACTTTCGTGATTGGTGGAGTCTCCATTTTCGGAGGGGGGGGGGGGGGAAATAAAGAAACAAACAAGGATTCTAGATCCCCAACTGAAAAGGGGAGAGTGTTTTCAACATGGAGGAAAAGGAGGAAAAGTAGCTTCAAAAACAAGATGCTGAAAGGAGAAAGAGCGGGGAAGAGAAACCAAAAACAGTGCTGCTGATCGAAACTGATGCAAAGTCTAGAAAGGCAGGCTGGGAAGAACTGTACGTATGTCGGTCGGTCGGTGGCCTTGTTCTTTGTCTATCCCTCCCTCCATCCATCTAGTCTTTCCATCGTTCTCTCCCTTTCGGCAGAGACGACTGGTAGGTACATCCTTGGCTTGATTGGTCAGTTCATCTCCCCCTCCATGAGTGTCTAGGGCAGTGCCAATCAATGTCCCCTGCTCTGCCAGCGATGCCAGGGGGCGGGTATCACCGGAACTCGTAGATGGGCATACTGTGTTCCTGGACATGGGTGAGGTTTAACGACTGGTACCTGGAAGAGAACAAGGGGACCAAGAATGAGAAGCTAGCCAGTAGCCGAGCAGCTAACCAAGCTAGCCAGTAGCCAAGCAGCTAACCAGTAGCCAAGCAGCTAACCAAGCTAGCCAGTAGCCAAGCAGCTAACCAAGCTAGCCAGTAGCAAAGCAGCTAACCAAGCTAGCCAGTAGCAAAGCAGCTAACCAAGCTAGCCAGTAGCAAAGCAGCTAACCAGTAGCAACATCCCTGTATGTTCAGATCAGCATGCAAAACAACAACTGGTAAATATTTACACTTCAGTGTGCTTGCCTCCCAAACGACACCCTCTTCCCTATATAGTGCACTACTTTGACCAGGGCCCATAGGGTGTCATTTGGGACGCAGCCTACGTACCATTCAGAGCTTCTGTGGTAGTAGTAGCCCTCGATGGTGGCTGTGGACTTCTGGAAGCAGATATAGTAGAAACCAGCGAAGGACGCCCCGCTGATGTCTTTAATGGTATGGTCCGGGACCAGGAACTGCTCCTGTAAGGGAGAGGACAAGAAACAAACGCTAGTCACTATATGGCCATGTTAGAAAGGACAAACGTGGCACGCTACGGCCAGACAGAGATTTTTCCCCCAAAAAATATAGATTGAGCCTCCCCCCAAAATTGGATGAACAAAACTAGACAATGATAAATGCGTATGAAATGTAATGTTTTCATACATCTGTGTGGCCAGAGGCAATATCAGAAAACGTCCATCCATACTAAGATAAGAACAAGTGTAGAGACACAGAGGAAGGGTTAAAGGTTAAAGTTCAAAGTTCACACAGGGAGAGAGAATGAGCGATCAATGGAACATCAGGTGATATTGGCCTCACCTTCCACCTCATAAAGACAAAATCACTGTTCTTCAGCTCTTCGTAATCGAAGTCGTCCAAGTTGAAGCTCTTTGCGTACTGATAAAAAGCCTGAAACTTCCCCTGGAAAGAAACAAAACAAAAATGTGTTGTTTTAGTTGTACTTTTTCTCAAAGACAATTAAAAACTGAAGTATTACCCTGCATCCAAGAAGTGTTTGTTAAAAAGAAGAAAACACCACACAGACAAATGACTATGCTTCAAAGGGAATATGAAATGAAAGACATTGAGAGCTTCAAATGAATACCCAGTGCTTGCGGTCCACATCTTCGTCGGCGTCCCACTTCCTGGTTAAAAAGGGCCTCTTTCTACTGATGATCTCTCCTGTGAAGAACGTGGTAAGAGTGGGATACTCCTGCGAGGATCAGAAACAGAACGTGGTGAGAGTGGGATACTCCTGCGAGGATCAGAAACACAACGTGGTGAGAGTGGGATACTCCTGTAAGGAACAGAAACAGAACATGGTGAGAGTGGGATACTCCTGTGAGGACCAGAAACGCAGATTAAGAGCGAGTGAGAGCTGGGTTCATTAGTGAACACCATAGCAAACTGTATCTAATCTTTTTGCAATGGAAAATCTATTGCAATGAAAACAAGAGTTTATTGGACAAGTTCAGGTAGTCCCTCCCCGTTTGCTTTGGTTTTGTTCCTAGAGAATACAACCCTGTTTCCTTCTCCGTAAGGACTTTCACTGACAAAAGAGATGGTTTTAATTATACATGACATACTCAATCTTTCTTAGTCACACACATCATAACGGTTGTCTCCAACAAAGTAGGTACATATTCCCAATGCTTTTCTGTTTATAGACCTGAATACATGGATCTAGCTGTGCTCCCACTTTTACTATTCCCTTAATCTGACTCTACAGTTATGGTTACCAAGGTTCCTTTAGGAAGGGTTCCTGGCTGGAACACATGCCCTTTGCAGTGATGAATGATGTGTCACACACAGGACTGCCATCAATAACGAACAGCAATGCCTGTTTAATGCAGGGTCATATTCATTAGGCAACAAACAGAAGAACTGAAAAACTAAAACTGGGAGGGACGACCTCAATGTGTTTTCTTTTTCCGTTGCAAAACAATTTGCTGCGGTGTGTCCGAATGAATACGACCCAGCTCACTTTAACACTATGCAAAGGTGCCAGAGCAGTGGTAGGTAGCACCTTGTTAAGTAAACAGTGCACCCTTTCCCTGAGCACTCCCTTTGAGTCAATCACAACTCATTCTCTAGGAGAAGAGGTGAACAGTAGGGCGAGAGAAGAAGGGATCTGTGTAATTTATGAGGAGAGGAGAGTGGGAAGGGACCTGATATTTAGTGTTGCCAGTGAGAGAAAGTGCACAGCAATCACATTCTGTACCACACACCCTCTGAATTGTAGACCTCGCTGTAAACAGACAATGCAGGCAGAAAGCTGCAGCACACAGGCCTGTTCTATGACTGTCTGTACCATATTAGAGGCAGTCAGTCAGTTAGTCAGTCAATCCATTTAAGACTAAACATCCAAATACGGTATACAGTGCTCTGACAAGACCTACATCTGTAGCCTACACTTTTGCAACGTAACAGATAGGCCTTCATACTGGTGTTGCAAATTGGTCAATAGATGGCTCTGGCTTGTTGTTTAGCATGTTGTCATCATAATGTATGCCAGTTTCACATTGGTTGGTTGGTTGTACCAGTATACATTTAAATTGGGGCTGGTGAGCTGCATTGCACTTAGCTTACACTGACCCCTGCCATGATAAGTTCCCAAAAGGGGCTTAAAGACCCATTACACCATCATCTCTCATTCCATGTGAGCGGTAAGGTAGAAGTACACTGTATCTGACCCAGTTCTGCTCCACTTTACCTCGGTTAGGCCTTTGATCTTCAGGTAACCACACAGATAAGAGTCCTCCATGGTCACATGCTACAGGAGACAAACAATCGCACAATGAGTGGTATTCAAGTACAGTGGTCACAATGTCCTTGTGTGTGTGTGTGTACACAACAACAACCCATCATGTGCCTTCACAGAATGACAACCAGGCTGTTCACAAATGTTATTCTTAGGTATTTTCAGAAGTTCTCAAATGAATGAACAGGCCTATTCAATAGTCAGCTGTCAGTCAATCTGAGCGAGCACCAACGAAAATGCTGAAGGCTAGCTACCTTTTGTCATTTAACAACTAGGCCATTTGTTTACATAAATCATGCATGTGAATGCCAGTATTCATCTATCCAAATATTTGCATAACTGGCTGTTATCTCTCGAGAACCCTAGGGGGGCCAAGGGAGCTTACTAACATTTACCGTTTATTTGAATGGGCTAGCTAACTGCAAGTTACAGATTGCTTGCTGTCAAGCTTCCTAAACTAGTTTGTTTGCTAACTAACTAGTTCAGCTGGCTAGCTTGCTAAATCGGTTGCGTGACAGTGGTGGTTGACAGTCACTAGCAGCAGTGACAAGACAACCTTACATGGTCAACTTGCAAGCATGCTATCCATCATATCAAGCTTCTTAAAAGCAAGATAATTTACCTGCAAAACGACCTCAACGTCATACGAGTTTCCTTTGCTCTTCTGATGCCCTCGAAACTGTGAACCGCTGTACAGCAGCGTAGTAGCTACCCCGGGCTGGTGCGTGTTGATCGGCGGGGGAGGGATAAGAGAGTCCGAGGATGTACGGGCCGCAGCGGTGCTGCTGCAGCGCTCAGCTCGAACCGGCATGATGAGCGCTAATGCGTGCGTGTCCCCGACTGCAACAGTCATGAACCACAGACGGAGGAAGCTCGTAATAGGGAGAGGGGCTACTGACGAGCAGTATCTCTAAGCTTGCAAGTTGACTATCGTCCTCCCCGGCCCTAGGATAGCTCACGCTGGACGTGCACTGGGTTTAAGAGAACTTCAACGTTGCATTAGACAATTCAGAATCACCTTATTTGATTGGCTGGACAAGTGCACTCCTCATTTGAACGGAAACGTAATTGGATAGTATTCGGAAATGCATTGTGGGACATGTAGTTGCACTTTTGTACATTAGTTTCCACTGGAAAAATCCATATGAATGATCAGCGTTCTTGCAGTTTTGTACTAAGGTTGAAAACTTATATATTTGGGCCTTACTTTCTATTAGTTCTGAAATGTATTGTTTAATACAATGATTATAATCAAAACATAAAAAATGTTTAGTTGAATGGTTTTGGTTGGGTGTTGATAGTTATGCATGCCATAGTGCATCTCTCTCTCTCTCTCTCTCTCTCTCTCTCTCACTCACACACACACACACACACACACACACACACACACACACACACACACACACACACACACACACACACACACACACACACACACACACACACACACACACACACACACGCACACACACACACACACACACACACAAACAACAGTAGATGGCAGAGTTGTCCCAGAGAGTTGAAATATGAACCATTTAGGAATACACAACAAACATTTCAGCCTGTTTCTGGAAATGAACAAAAGGGAAAAAACACAGAGGATTCATTAAAATAATGGACTTTATTTTGACACAATTCAATTTTCTTATAACACAGGTTCATGAAAATAAGTAAGTATGAAAAGAAGGGCATTTGCTGTATGCCTGAGGCTTGTGAATCTGTGTTGGGACTGTTTATTCTGCTATATTTCCTTTCCCCTCCTCTCTTCTTAATCAATGGTGCTCATGTTGCATCTCATCTAGCTGATCCCTCACGTAGTCAATGTAGTTGTGAATCTCTGAGATGCGCTTGCGATTCCGCTTCACCTCTTCATCTTGTACCTGCATTGACAGGCGAATAAGATACAAAACAACAACAAATTAAAACACCCCAAGGTTAGAGCATTCTTCATGGTGGAAAACTGGAAACTGTCATACTGAGTGTTTGTGGCAATGCCTTGCCTTCCCCATAGAAATACAATCTATGTCATCCTATTTCCATGTATTCCCCATAGAAATACAATCTATGTCATCATATTTCCATGCATTCCCCTGCCTACCGATTTCATCAGAGCGCTCATCCAGCTGTTGCTGCGCGTCACCAGTTCGTCCTCACGGTTGTCGATCTTCAGCAGGTGGGTGTCGTGGGAGGTGCTGACTGCATTGATCACTGTGTCCTTGTCTACAAACAGCTGCATGGGGGGGACAAACAGACACTGTGTAACACAGAGGGCTGATGCAGGGTGAAGTTGCCCCTAGACACTGATCTTGGGTCAGTTTTGCATTCTCAACATAATGTTTAAGGTTAGGATTGGGGGTAGGAAAACTGATCTGAAATCTGTACCTAGGGGAAACTTCACCTAGGTGCCAGTTGGATCAAGATACTGCTGAGTGCCACTGGGGAAAGTGCTGCTGAGGTGCTACGGATCTTAATTTCTCACAGCAGGAAAATAATCCTGTAGCAACAGGAAATATGAATTTTTATGTGGATTATAATTAATGGACATTTTCTGTAGTGGTTAACATATTTTTCGTTAGGGCAAATCAAGTATGACATGTTAATGTGGAAATTGCAAACTTTAGAAGCCTTTTTGAACCTTGAATACACTACAATTTGCATTTCCTGCTGGGCAGGAATATTCTCTGTGACAACAGACTGATCAAATTAAGATAGCAGATCTGTAGTTTCAATAGCAGTGACAGTGGCAATGTTGTCAGAGATGTGAGGCAGTAAGAACAGAATACAGTTGGACAGTGTGCAGTGTGTCTGAGTGCAATATGGACGAGCATGTACACATACAATATCAAATCAAATCAAATTGTAATTGTCACATGCTTCGTAAACAACAGCGAAATGGTTCCCAACAATGCAGAATACAATAAATATAATTTGTATAATAATAATGGAAAAATAATTGTAACATGAGGAATAAATACACAATGAGCAATTATAGCTTGGCTATATACATAGGTACAAGTACCGTGTGGATGTGTAGGGGTACGAGGTCATTGAGGTAGATACACTACCAGTCAAAAGTCTGGACACACCTACTCATTCAAGGGTTTTTTCTTCATTTTTACTATTTTTTACATTGTAGAATAATAGTGAAATAACACATATGGAATCATGTAGTAACAAAAAAGTGTTAAACAAATCAAAATATATTTTATATTTGAGATTCTTCAAATAGCCACCCTTTGCCTTGATGACAGCTTTGCACACTCTTGACATTCTCTCAACCAGCTTCATGAGGTAGTCACCTGGAATGCATTTCAATTAACAAGTGTGCCTTCTGAAAAGTTAATTAGTGGAATTTCTTTCCTTCTTAATGCGTTTGAGCCAATCAGTTGTGTTGTGACAAGGTAGGGGGGTATACAGAAGATAGCCCTATTTGGTAAAAGACTAAGTTCATATTATGGCAAGAACAGCTCAAATAAGCAAAGAGAAACAACAGTCCATCATTACTTTAAGACATGAAGGTCAGTCAATACGGAACATTTCAAGAACTTTGAAAGTTTCTTCAAGTGCAGTCGCAAAAACCATCAAGCGCTATGATGAAACTGGCTCTCATGAGGACCGCCACAGGAATGGAAGACCCAGAGTTACCTCTGCTGCAGAGGATAAGTTCATTAGAGTTACCAGCCTCAGAAATTGCAGCCCAAATAAATGCTTCACAGAGTTCAAGTAACAGACACATCTCAACATCAACTGTTCAGAGGAGACAGTGTGAATCAGGCCTTCATGGTTGAATTGCAGCACAGAAACCACTACTAAAGGACACCAATAAGAAGAAGAGAAACCAAGAAACACGAGCAATGGACATTATACCGGTGGAAATGAGTCCAAATTTGAGATTTTGGGTTCTAACCGCCGTGTCTTTGTGAGACGCAGAGCAGGTGAACGGATGATCTCCGTATGTGTATTTCCCACCATAAAGCATGGAGGAGAAGGTGTTGCGGTGTGGGGGTGCTTTGCTGGTGACACTGTCTGTGATTTATTTAGAATTAAAGGCACACTTAACCAGCATGGCTACCACAGCATTCTGCAGCGATACGCTATCCCATCTGGTTTGGGCTTAGTGGGACTATCATTTGTTTTTCAACAGGACAATGACCCAACAGACCTCCAGGCTGTGTAAGGGCTATTTTACCAAGAAGGAGAGTGATGGAGTGCTGCATCAGATGACCTGGCCTCCACAATCCCCCGACCTCAACCCAATTGAGATGGTTTGGGAGGAGTCAGACCGCAGACTGAAGGAAAAGCAGCCAACAAGTGCTCAGCATATGTGGGAACTTCTTCAAGACTGTTGGAAAAGCATTCCAGGTGAAGCTGGTTGAGAGAATGCCAAGAGTGTGCAAAGCTGTCATCAAGGCAAAGGGTGGCTAGTCGAAGAATCTCAAATATAAAATATATTTTGATTTTTGTAACACTTTTTTGGTTACTACATGATTCCATATGTGTTATTTCATAGTTTTGATGTCTTCACTATTATTCTACAATGTAGAAAATAGTAAAAATAAAGAAAAACCCTTGAATGAGTAGGTGTGTCCAAACTTTTGACTGGTAGTGCATTCGGAAAGTATTCAGACACCTTGACTTTTTCCATATTTTGTTACATTACAGCCTTATTCTAAAATGGATTACATTGTTTTTTCCCCCTCATCAATCTACACACAATACCCCGTAATGACAAAGCAAAAACAGGTTTTTAGAATTTTTTGAAATATTACATTTACATGACCCTTTACTCAGTACTTTGTTGAAGCACCTTTGGCAGCGATTACAGCATCGAGTCTTCTTGGGTATGACGCTACAAGCTTGGCACACCTGTATTTTGGGAGTTTCTCCCATTCTTCTCTGTAGATCCTCTCAAGCTCTGTCAGGTTGGATGGGGAGCGTCACTGCACAGCTATTTCAGGTCTCTCCAGAGATGTTCGATCGGGTTCAAGTACGGGCTCTGGGTGGGCCACTCAAGGACATTCAGAGACTTTTCCTGAAGCCACTCCAGCGTTGTCTTGGCTGTGTGCTTAGGGTCATTGTCCTGTTGGAAGGTGAACCTTTGCCCCAGACTGAGGTCCTGTGCGCTCTGGAGCAGGTATTTATCAAGGATCTCTCTGTACTTTGCTCCATTCATCTTTCCCTTGATCCTGACTAGTCTCCCAGTCCCTGCCACTGAAAAACATTTTTTGACCATCGGGTTCTTGGTCACCTCCCTGACCAAGGCCTTTCTCCCCCGATTGCTCAGTTTGGCCGGGCGGCCAGCTCTAGGCATGATGAGCGCTAATGCGTGCGTGTCCCCGACTGCAACAGTCATGAACCACAGACGGAGGAAGCTCGTAATAGGGAGAGGGGCTACTGACGAGCAGTATCTCTAAGCTTGCAAGTTGACTATCGTCCTCCCCGGCCCTAGGATAGCTCACGCTGGACGTGCACTGGGTTTAAGAGAACTTCAACGTTGCATTAGACAATTCAGAATCACCTTATTTGATTGGCTGGACAAGTGCACTCCTCATTTGAACGGAAACGTAATTGGATAGTATTCGGAAATGCATTGTGGGACATGTAGTTGCACTTTTGTACATTAGTTTCCACTGGAAAAATCCATATGAATGATCAGCGTTCTTGCAGTTTTGTACTAAGGTTGAAAACTTATATATTTGGGCCTTACTTTCTATTAGTTCTGAAATGTATTGTTTAATACAATGATTATAATCAAAACATAAAAAATGTTTAGTTGAATGGTTTTGGTTGGGTGTTGATAGTTATGCATGCCATAGTGCATCTCTCTCTCTCTCTCTCTCTCTCTCTCTCTCACTCACACACACACACACACACACACACACACACACACACACACACACACACACACACACACACACACACACACACACACACACACACACACACACACACACACACACACGCACACACACACACACACACACACACACAAACAACAGTAGATGGCAGAGTTGTCCCAGAGAGTTGAAATATGAACCATTTAGGAATACACAACAAACATTTCAGCCTGTTTCTGGAAATGAACAAAAGGGAAAAAACACAGAGGATTCATTAAAATAATGGACTTTATTTTGACACAATTCAATTTTCTTATAACACAGGTTCATGAAAATAAGTAAGTATGAAAAGAAGGGCATTTGCTGTATGCCTGAGGCTTGTGAATCTGTGTTGGGACTGTTTATTCTGCTATATTTCCTTTCCCCTCCTCTCTTCTTAATCAATGGTGCTCATGTTGCATCTCATCTAGCTGATCCCTCACGTAGTCAATGTAGTTGTGAATCTCTGAGATGCGCTTGCGATTCCGCTTCACCTCTTCATCTTGTACCTGCATTGACAGGCGAATAAGATACAAAACAACAACAAATTAAAACACCCCAAGGTTAGAGCATTCTTCATGGTGGAAAACTGGAAACTGTCATACTGAGTGTTTGTGGCAATGCCTTGCCTTCCCCATAGAAATACAATCTATGTCATCCTATTTCCATGTATTCCCCATAGAAATACAATCTATGTCATCATATTTCCATGCATTCCCCTGCCTACCGATTTCATCAGAGCGCTCATCCAGCTGTTGCTGCGCGTCACCAGTTCGTCCTCACGGTTGTCGATCTTCAGCAGGTGGGTGTCGTGGGAGGTGCTGACTGCATTGATCACTGTGTCCTTGTCTACAAACAGCTGCATGGGGGGGACAAACAGACACTGTGTAACACAGAGGGCTGATGCAGGGTGAAGTTGCCCCTAGACACTGATCTTGGGTCAGTTTTGCATTCTCAACATAATGTTTAAGGTTAGGATTGGGGGTAGGAAAACTGATCTGAAATCTGTACCTAGGGGAAACTTCACCTAGGTGCCAGTTGGATCAAGATACTGCTGAGTGCCACTGGGGAAAGTGCTGCTGAGGTGCTACGGATCTTAATTTCTCACAGCAGGAAAATAATCCTGTAGCAACAGGAAATATGAATTTTTATGTGGATTATAATTAATGGACATTTTCTGTAGTGGTTAACATATTTTTCGTTAGGGCAAATCAAGTATGACATGTTAATGTGGAAATTGCAAACTTTAGAAGCCTTTTTGAACCTTGAATACACTACAATTTGCATTTCCTGCTGGGCAGGAATATTCTCTGTGACAACAGACTGATCAAATTAAGATAGCAGATCTGTAGTTTCAATAGCAGTGACAGTGGCAATGTTGTCAGAGATGTGAGGCAGTAAGAACAGAATACAGTTGGACAGTGTGCAGTGTGTCTGAGTGCAATATGGACGAGCATGTACACATACAATATCAAATCAAATCAAATTGTAATTGTCACATGCTTCGTAAACAACAGCGAAATGGTTCCCAACAATGCAGAATACAATAAATATAATTTGTATAATAATAATGGAAAAATAATTGTAACATGAGGAATAAATACACAATGAGCAATTATAGCTTGGCTATATACATAGGTACAAGTACCGTGTGGATGTGTAGGGGTACGAGGTCATTGAGGTAGATACACTACCAGTCAAAAGTCTGGACACACCTACTCATTCAAGGGTTTTTCTTCATTTTTACTATTTTTTACATTGTAGAATAATAGTGAAATAACACATATGGAATCATGTAGTAACAAAAAAGTGTTAAACAAATCAAAATATATTTTATATTTGAGATTCTTCAAATAGCCACCCTTTGCCTTGATGACAGCTTTGCACACTCTTGACATTCTCTCAACCAGCTTCATGAGGTAGTCACCTGGAATGCATTTCAATTAACAAGTGTGCCTTCTGAAAAGTTAATTAGTGGAATTTCTTTCCTTCTTAATGCGTTTGAGCCAATCAGTTGTGTTGTGACAAGGTAGGGGGGTATACAGAAGATAGCCCTATTTGGTAAAAGACTAAGTTCATATTATGGCAAGAACAGCTCAAATAAGCAAAGAGAAACAACAGTCCATCATTACTTTAAGACATGAAGGTCAGTCAATACGGAACATTTCAAGAACTTTGAAAGTTTCTTCAAGTGCAGTCGCAAAAACCATCAAGCGCTATGATGAAACTGGCTCTCATGAGGACCGCCACAGGAATGGAAGACCCAGAGTTACCTCTGCTGCAGAGGATAAGTTCATTAGAGTTACCAGCCTCAGAAATTGCAGCCCAAATAAATGCTTCACAGAGTTCAAGTAACAGACACATCTCAACATCAACTGTTCAGAGGAGACAGTGTGAATCAGGCCTTCATGGTTGAATTGCAGCACAGAAACCACTACTAAAGGACACCAATAAGAAGAAGAGAAACCAAGAAACACGAGCAATGGACATTATACCGGTGGAAATGAGTCCAAATTTGAGATTTTGGGTTCTAACCGCCGTGTCTTTGTGAGACGCAGAGCAGGTGAACGGATGATCTCCGTATGTGTATTTCCCACCATAAAGCATGGAGGAGAAGGTGTTGCGGTGTGGGGGTGCTTTGCTGGTGACACTGTCTGTGATTTATTTAGAATTAAAGGCACACTTAACCAGCATGGCTACCACAGCATTCTGCAGCGATACGCTATCCCATCTGGTTTGGGCTTAGTGGGACTATCATTTGTTTTTCAACAGGACAATGACCCAACAGACCTCCAGGCTGTGTAAGGGCTATTTTACCAAGAAGGAGAGTGATGGAGTGCTGCATCAGATGACCTGGCCTCCACAATCCCCCGACCTCAACCCAATTGAGATGGTTTGGGAGGAGTCAGACCGCAGACTGAAGGAAAAGCAGCCAACAAGTGCTCAGCATATGTGGGAACTTCTTCAAGACTGTTGGAAAAGCATTCCAGGTGAAGCTGGTTGAGAGAATGCCAAGAGTGTGCAAAGCTGTCATCAAGGCAAAGGGTGGCTAGTCGAAGAATCTCAAATATAAAATATATTTTGATTTTTGTAACACTTTTTTGGTTACTACATGATTCCATATGTGTTATTTCATAGTTTTGATGTCTTCACTATTATTCTACAATGTAGAAAATAGTAAAAATAAAGAAAAACCCTTGAATGAGTAGGTGTGTCCAAACTTTTGACTGGTAGTGCATTCGGAAAGTATTCAGACACCTTGACTTTTTCCATATTTTGTTACATTACAGCCTTATTCTAAAATGGATTACATTGTTTTTTCCCCCTCATCAATCTACACACAATACCCCGTAATGACAAAGCAAAAACAGGTTTTTAGAATTTTTTGAAATATTACATTTACATGACCCTTTACTCAGTACTTTGTTGAAGCACCTTTGGCAGCGATTACAGCATTGAGTCTTCTTGGGTATGACGCTACAAGCTTGGCACACCTGTATTTTGGGAGTTTCTCCCATTCTTCTCTGTAGATCCTCTCAAGCTCTGTCAGGTTGGATGGGGAGCGTCACTGCACAGCTATTTCAGGTCTCTCCAGAGATGTTCGATCGGGTTCAAGTACGGGCTCTGGGTGGGCCACTCAAGGACATTCAGAGACTTTTCCTGAAGCCACTCCAGCGTTGTCTTGGCTGTGTGCTTAGGGTCATTGTCCTGTTGGAAGGTGAACCTTTGCCCCAGACTGAGGTCCTGTGCGCTCTGGAGCAGGTATTTATCAAGGATCTCTCTGTACTTTGCTCCATTCATCTTTCCCTTGATCCTGACTAGTCTCCCAGTCCCTGCCACTGAAAAACATTTTTTGACCATCGGGTTCTTGGTCACCTCCCTGACCAAGGCCTTTCTCCCCCGATTGCTCAGTTTGGCCGGGCGGCCAGCTCTAGGAAGAGTCTTGGTGGTTCCAAACTTCTTCCATTTAAGAATGATGGAGGCCACTGTGTTCTTGGGGACCTTCAATCTGTTTCCCCCAGATCTGTGCCTCGTCACAATCCTGTCTTGGACCTCTACAGACAATTCCTTCGACCTCATGGCTTGGTCTTTGCTCTGACATGCACTGTCAACTGTGGGACTTTAAATAGACAGGTGTGTGCCTTTCCAAATCATATCCAATCAATTGAATTTACCACAGGTGGACTCCAATCAAGTTGTAGAAACATCTCAAGGATGATCAATGGAAACAGGATGCACCTGAGCTCAATTTCGAGGCTCATAGCAAAGGGTCTGAATACTTATTTAAATAAGGTATTTCTGTTTTTTTATTTTGTATGAATCTGCAAATAATTCTAAAAACCGCTTTGTTCGCTTTGTCATTATGGGGTATTGTGTGTAGATTGATGAGGCAAAAAATATATTTAATCAATTTTAGAATAAGGCTGTAACGTAACAAAATGTGGAAAAGTCAAGGGGTCTGAATACTTTCCGAATGCGGTGTACATACACACTACATGACAAAGATATGTGGACACCTGCTCGTCAAACATCTCATTCCAAAATCCTGGGCATTAATATGGAGTTGGTCCCCCTGTGCTGCTATAACAGCCTCCACTCTTCTGGGAAGGCTTTCCACTAGATGTTGAAACACTGCTGTGGGTACTTGCTTCCATCCTGCCACAATAGCATTAGTGAGGTTGGGCACTGATTTTGGGCGATTGGGCCTGGCTCGCAGTCAGGGTTCCAATTCATCCCAAAGGTGTTCGATGGGGTTGAGGTCAGGGCTCTGTGCAGGCCAGTCAAGTTTTTCCACACCGAGCTCAACAAACCATTTTGTGCACGGGGGCATTGTCATGCTGAAACAGGAAAGGGCCTTCCCCAAACTGTTGCCACAAAGTTGGAAGCACAGAATCCTCTAGAATGTCATTGTATTCTGTAGCGTTAAGATTTCCCTTCACTGGAACTAAGCCCGAACCATGAAAAACTCTAGCAGGGCAGAAATTTGACAAACTGACTTGTTGGAAAGGTGGCTTCCTATGACGGTGCCACGTTGAAAGTCACTGAGCTTTTCAGTAAGGCCATTCTACTGCCAATGTTTGTCTATGGAGATCGCATGGCTGTGTGCTCGATTTTATAAACCTGTCTGCTATGGGTGTGGCTGAAATAGCCGAATCCACTAATTTGAAGGGGTGTCCACATACTTTTGTATATATAGTGTAGGTAGGGGTAAAGTGACTAGGCCTTTTGATCCCAGATCCGGTACTGTTTGCCATGAGGTAGCAGAGAGAAGAGTCTATGACTTGGGTTGCAGGAGTCTGACAATTTTTGTCAATTTTTGTGGAGATAAGCGACAGGGTTGAGAGAGGGGTAGGGAAACACTATTTAGGCTGCGTCTCAAATAGCACCCTATTCCCTATTTAGTATACTAATTTTGACCAGGGCCTATAGGATTTGCTGTAGGTACAGGGACTTTCTGACTCTGACACTGACCATTCGGACATCATCAGGCATATCCTCCTCCAGCTCATTCTTGGCCACTCGCTCCAGGGTTGCCATGGCGATTTCCAGTAGCTTCTCGTGGTGGTGGTTCTCTAAGTCTCGGCACTGGGCGAATGTGGGTCTGTGTCAAGGACACTTTGTCTGGGGCTGTATACTGTATATCAAGCGTCTCAGAGTAGGCGTGCTGATCTAGGATCAGGTCCTCCCTGTCCATGTAATCTTATTAATTACGATCTAAAAGGCTAAACTGATCCTAAATCAGCAAATCAGCACTCTTACTCTGAGATGCTTGATACATACAGACCCCTGATTTTAATAACTGCATCAGTGCACTGTAACACCATTATAATACACATGCAACTTGCAGTTATATTGAAATACATGAGGTAGTAAAGGATATATTCCTTGAACAACTTCAATGAGTCCGGCAACCATGTCTGAAATGTTCCTCTCAAAATCTTTGATTATATCCTATGGAAAAAAAAGGAGAATAGTTATTATGAATAACATATCTCAAATCGAAATGTGTGTTTTGATATCAAACAGAAAATAAAAAATAAATTAATCTAATGCCTGTATTTACTCTACTGTCCTTTGCAGCTGGACCTAGTGTCTGACAGCACACAGACTATACAAGCTATCATATAGGTTTGTTGTGCCTAAAAATTCTATACACTTGAATTAATTAACCACTTCAAACATTCCTCTATGAATGAGATAGTTTCCATATGAACTCTTGCACGTGTACTATAATATACTTCAGCCGCACACACATACACACACACACACACACACACACACACACACACACACACACACACACACACACACACACACACACACACACACACACACACACACACACACACACAGTCGGGAAAAATGTATTTGCTCAAGGTGTGGAAAATGCTGTACCCATAAGGAGAACGACTTCTACATTTATATTTAAAGGTTTAATAGACAAACAATAAACAGACATATGCATATGGGGAGACAGACACATTCCTCTAAGACGTTTGTAGCAATCTTCTAACCTCCTCAAGGGCAGGCAGGCACACATAAATACTCTTGCTTATCTGTTCGTTCTCCAAGTGTTCTGGGCCCCTGGTCACAACATTAATCAAGGTTATCGAGACCACTTGGGTCAGAGTGAGCTCTATATTAGATGTCTCTATCATTTGAAACTCCAGATGGCTGAATTTACAGCCATTGGCACTTGGCCTCAGGGAGGTCACCTAGAGGTCACCTAGGTTACCAGGTACTGCTTTATGATGACTCCTAACTACAGGTCTTCACGGGCCCAAAAAGGTTGGACCTGTTCCGAAATGAACCTGGGGCTTTCCCACCCAGACCCGATATGCATACATTTATTTTTTAAATACAGAGACCCATTCCGAACGGACCTGAGGAGAACTAGACCCGTTCCGTATAGACCTGGTTCAGATCTAGACCCGGTCCGATCGACACAGAGTGAGGGAAGCAGCAGAAAAGTCATTTTTTAAGCGACTTTATTAACCGGAGCAGATAAAGCGTGAGAGGAGGGAGAGAAAGGTGCCGCTCTAGCAGGCGGTGGAGGGTCCGTACTGTGAGGGAGTGACACAGGGATGAGAGACAGCAACCAACCAACTAGCCGACATGCACTATAGTAGACTAATAGCTGCTAATAGCTAGGTTATTTATCATCCAATATGATTACGTAGTACCTGTCTTGACTGCATCAAACCGGGAGAAGCTAGCTAATTAAGCTATCTTACGTTAATTGAGGAAGCAGTGCATGCGCTTTCTCACCGTAACAACAACTCCATTCAGAATATTAAGTAGCAATCTACCTGTTGGCTCTTGGTCATTGTAGCCTATGCTTCTCCTTTAACTTTTAATTCCGTCATTTTAATTCCATCGATTAGATATCTCCTAACTTTTGCCACACACAGATGCTATATGACTGTAGCCTATTGCCGCTTTGATGACTTACAGTGGGGAAAAAAAGTATTTAGTCAGCCACCAATTGTGCAAGTTCTCCCACTTAAAAAGATGAGAGAGGCCTGTAATTTTCATCATAGGTACACGTCAACTATGACAGACAAAATGAGATTTTTTTCCCCAGAAAATCACATTGTAGGATTTTTAATGAATTTATTTGCAAATTATGGCGGAAAATAAGTATTTGGTCAATAACAAAAGCTTCTCAATACTTTGTTATATACCCTTTGTTGGAAATGACACAGGTCAAACGTTTTCTGTAAGTCTTCACAAGGTTTTCACACACTGTTGCTGGTATTTTGGCCCATTCCTCCATGGAGATCTCCTCTAGAGCAGTGATGTTTTGGGGCTGTCGCTGGGCAACACGGACTTTCAACTCCCTCCAAAGATTTTCTATGGGGTTGAGATCTGGAGACTGGCTAGGCCACTCCAGGACCTTGAAATGCTTCTTACGAAGCCACTCCTTCGTTGCCCGGGTGGTGTGTTTGGGATCATTGTCATGCTGAAAGACCCAGCCACGTTTAATCTTCAATGCCCTTGCTGATGGAAGGAGGTTTTCACTCAAAATCTCACGATACATGGCCCCATTCATTCTTTCCTTTACACGGATCAGTCGTCCTGGTCCCTTTGCAGAAAAACAGCCCCAAAGCATGATGTTTCCACCCCCATGCTTCACAGTAGGTATGGTGTTCTTTGGATGCAACTCAGCATTCTTTGTCCTTCAAACACGACGAGTTGAGTTTTTACCAAAAAGTTATATTTTTGTTTCATCTGACCATATGACATTCTCCCAATCCTCTTCTGGATCATCCAAATGCACTCTAGCAAACTTCAGACGGGCCTGGACATGTACTGGCTTAAGCAGGGGGACACGTCTGGCACTGCAGGATTTGAGTCCCTGGCGGCGTAGTGTGTTACTGATGGTAGGCTTTGTTACTTTGGTCCCAGCTCTCTGCCGGTCATTCACTAGGTCCCCCCGTGTGGTTCTGGGATTTTTGCTCACCGTTCTTGTGATCATTTTGACCCCACGGGGTGAGATCTTGTGTGGAGCCCCAGATCGAGGGAGATTATCAGTGGTCTTGTATGTCTTCCATTTCCTAATAATTGCTCCAACAGTTTATTTTTTCAAACCAAGCTGCTTACCTATTGCAGATTCAGTCTTCCCAGCCTGGTGCAGGTCTACAATTTTGTTTCTGGTGTCCTTTGACAGCTCTTTAGTCTTGGCCATAGTGGAGTTTGGAGTGTGACTGTTTGAGGTTGTGGACAGGTGTCTTTTATACTGATAACAAGTTCAAACAGGTGCCATTAATACAGGTAACGAGTGGAGGACAGAGGAGCCTCTTAAAGAAGAAGTTACAGGTCTGTGAGAGCCAGAAATCTTGCTTGTTTGTAGGTGACCAAATACTTATTTTCCACCATAATTTGCAAATAAATTCATTAAAAATCCTACAATGTGATTTTCTGCATTTCTTTTCTCAATTTGTCTGTCATAGTTGACGTGTACCTATGATGAAAATTACAGGCCTCTCTCATCTTTTTAAGTAGGAGAACTTGCACAATTGGTGGCTGACTAAATACTTTTTTTCCCCACTGTATGACTGGTCAACAACAACAACAAGCTACACGCACCACCCTTGAAAAGCAGCAGCATAAATTATACAATTTTTCTCTCTCTCTACTGCAGCAGTTTGGCTCTGTACGGGTCCTTCCGGACAAGTCAGTTAAAATGACACAGACCTGAGACTCGTGACAATCATATGAGATCCGACCCAGACCCGTGACATTAATTAGAATTCTGGATCCGGACCCGCTCGGATCCCAGATCAGGTATCTGGTATGGGTACAGGTGGATCCGTGAAAACCTATACTCCTAACCTCTTGGAAGTGACTCAGTTCAGATTTAAAGGCAATAATTTAGATCTTAAACAGACAGACAAACAGACACACACACACACACACACACACACACACACACACACACACACCTCCAGCTGGTCAACCAGCTGTAGCTCCTGGGTCATGAGGCTGTCACAGAGCTGCTTGATCTCCTCGCTGCAGTGGTTCAGCTGGGCCTCCAGGAGACGTGTGTCTGTGGCCTGCTGCATCTCAAACATCACCTGTTTGTGTGTGGCAACGTGGAGATACACAACATTTATGTATGATTTCCATGATGTTTTTGTTATTTGTATGATTTTTTGTAAGATTTATGTACAGTGGATTTGATACGATAAAAATAGCACCTTTTTTGTTAAACTGTTGCTATCGTGTTTTTATTATAGCAGTTTGTTATACCATTATCCAGAGCCATATATTTAGAGAGTTGGGCCAACTTTTGGAATTTTTTATATTGTTCTTATTATAGACATTCAGTTACATAGCATTATTTAAATATTCCCCATGTAATATTATTGGGGTGCTAACATGGCTGCCATATAATTTTAACGTTTTATGTAAATGCATCCCAATGCTCATTCTAGATATTATATTCCCCATGTAATGTTAATGGAGCACTAACATGGCTGCCATAGAATGTTGTAGTGTCATGCAAATGCATCATAATGCAGAAACCTCAATGGCCCAACTTTCTAAATAACATGGCTGTGACATTATCTATGTGTGGCCAAGAAGATATTCAGTGCAAATACATTAAATATGTAATATTTGTTCCAAAATAATTCATATTAAATGTATTTTGACACTTACAGTATATCCCTCCATAGAGATGGGGCAGATAGGAGTCAGTTGAATTCCATGGGCCATATTCATATTTAGCCTCTGTTGAAGACCATTGTCCAGCCCAAGAACTACATGTACTTTTGTTTTTGTTTAGTTTTTTAGCATCTTTAAGATTATCTGTATAGTGAAAAGCGCTAAATAAATAAAATATATTATTATTATTAATAAAGCCTCTCAGAGTAGGAGTGCTAATTTAGGATTTTTTAATTATCTTTTAGATAATTAAAAAGGTTACATGGGCAGGGAAGAGCTGTAATTAATTGGGGGAAAATCAAACAGTTTCCAATTAAACTTGCCAATTGGTCTACTCATTAAGATTTGTAGATCTGTCAGTCTGCGCTGAATTGAAGCTCTCAAACGTGACCATTTCACTGTCAGTGCAAGTGAAAGCCGGTTTTGACTAGATGGGATGCCGCTAATATCAGAAGTGACTTTTCGTAGCAGGTTAGGAGAACTTACGCAGCAGGTTAGGATAATTAACGTAGCAGGTTAGGAGAATTAGGTTAAGGTTAGGAAAAGCGTTAGGGTTAGCTAAAATGCCCCCGACGCGACTCGGATATGTACGTTTTGACATCTGACATTAGCGGCATCCCTTCTTTGCGTGACCGTAAAAGCTACAGTCCCATGACTCACCTGTCTCCTGGCTTTCTCGAAGTCTGCAGTGATCTGTGCTGCTCTCTGCTGGTTGTAGTCCACGGCTTCTCTGGAACAGTCAAAGAACGACTTGACCTCGTCTTCCCTCCGGCCGCGCTGTGTCAAGCCAATCTCAAACACCTGCACACACAGCGCCACCAGCTGGCTCTTGTATGTAGGAACAGAGTCAAGGAAGGAGCCTTCGATGCAATAGTATAATATTTCCCCCCCAGTTTTTTCTCTCCGTTAAATCACTATCTTACAACAAGATATATAATTATATTATTATTTCACCTGCCTCTGCATTTAGCCATCCAATAAATCAAGAGCTAATTGTGGAAGGGAGAAGGCATGCTCCAAATAGACTGACACTGAGGGAACAGAGTATGGAGAAGGATATGTCTCTAGTAGTACAGACACTCCGGGGAGGTAGGCCAGCTTGGCTGCCTCTGCATCATCTGCGTACATGCTGTCAAACAGATATGGGCCATTCAAGAGCTCCACAAAGGCATCCTGTAGGTAGGGAAGCACACTTACACAAACACACACACAAACATACACACACAACAGTAGATGGCAGAATTGTCCAATGATTTCAAGCTCAACGCACACATGGATGTAGAATGTATACTTTGCTCTGAATGTATGTTTTTCGTATGTTACCCTGTGCAACTGGAGCTCGTCCTCTTGCTCTTGCCTAGCGTCCATCGTCCTTCTCTCTTGGGCCTCATTGTGGCGCATCTCCTCAATGGCATACTGGTATTTCCCAAACGCCTGCTCTCGCTACATAAGGAGATACTTAATGTTCAATGCTCGTCCGAATGGTTGGTAGAGTATGAAAAAAGCAAGGTATTCATGTATTCATACAAGCTAATGGTATATCCAGTGCAGCGCTTGAATAATCATTTATAAAATAGACCTTTGGAAGTGTTTTCTTTAAATCTGTGGTTACAATATGGTTGGGATGTGTAAAGGTATGGCAGTTCAGCAGTTTTAGACCGCTTTTAGTGTGGCGCTTATTCAGTTGGCTGATTCCCAGGGGAAACGTTTGTAATCCATGACTAACCATTTTGTAATGCTCTCGTTTACATAAATGCTTTAATTCATCAGGACAGGAATGTCCCTGAGCCTAGGCATAAATCTCTTATTTTGTAAGACTTGTGTTTTGTAAGACTTATGATATGTTGGTGTGGATACAAGCACATATATATATATATATATATATATATATATATATATATATATATATATATATATATATATATAACCTTGCCATCCCATTGGTTCTCCTGTACTTGTCGCTCTAGCGCCAGGGATGTGTTTCTAATGCTTTAATTCCCAAAGCCAACACCTCCTTTGGCCGCCATTCCTTCCAGTTCTCTGCTGCAAATGACTGGAACAAACTGCAACAATCTCTGAAGCTGGAGACACTTATCTCCCTCACTAACTTTAAGCATCAGTTGTCAGAGCAGCTTACCGATCACTGCACCTGTACACAGCCCATCTGTAATTAGCCCACCCAACTACCTCATCCCCATATTGTTATTTACATTGTTATTTATTTTGCTCATTTGCACCCCAGTATCTCTATTTGCACATCATCTTCTGCACATCTATCACTCCAGTGTTAATACTAAATTGTAATTATTTTGCACTATGGCCTATTTATTGCCTTACCTCCATAACTTACTACATTTGCACACACTGTATATAGATTTTCTATTGTGTTATTGACTGTACATTTTGTTTATTCCATATGTAACTCTGTGTTGTTGTTGTTTTTATCGCACTGCTTTGCTTTATCTTGGCCAGGTCGCAGTTGTAAATGAGAACTTGTTCTCAACTGGCTTACCTGGTTAAATAAAGGTTAAATAAAAAATAAAATAAATAAATAATAAGTACAGATCTAGGATCAGCTTCCCTTCCCCCAATCCTAACCTTAACCATTAGTAGGGGGATTGCAAGACTGACCCAAGATCAGTGTCTAGGGGCAATTTCACCCTATTCCATCACTCACTGTTTGTTCATCCAATAGTCTGAAGTCCAAGTAAACCAACTCTGGAAGATAGGCAGCAACAAAGATCTTGTAGTGGTCCTCTTTGCAGATGGGGTTTCCAGCTAGGTTGAGAGTGCGCATGTTCTTGAACTTTCGGAGGTAGATCACCTGGGAATCAGAGGATCTTGTTGATTGCAATTCCTACAGTGTCCAGCAAACATACAATACCAGCCCATGCCATGAAAATAACATACACTACCAGTCAAAAGTTTGGACACACCCACTCATTCAAGGGTTTTTCTTTATTTTTACTATCTTTTACATTGTAGAATAATAGTGAAGACATCAAAACTATGAAATAACACATATGGAATCATGTAGTAACCAATAAAGTGTTCAACAAAGATTGAGATTCTTCAAATAGCCACCCTTTGCCTTGATGACAGCTTCACACACTCTTGGCATTCTCTCAACCAGCTTCACCTGAAATGCATTTCAATTAACGGAAGGTGTGCCTTCTTAAAAGTTAATTTTTGGAATTTCTTTCCTTCTTAATGCGTTTGAGCCAATCAGTTGTGTTGTGACAAGGTGGGGGGGAGGGGTATACAGAAGATAGCCCTATTTGGTAAAACACCAAGTCCATATTATGGCAAGAACAGCTCAAATAAGCAAAGAGAAATGACAGTCCATCATTACTTTAAGACATGAAGGTCAGTCAATACGGAACGTTTCAAGAACTTTGAACGTTTCTTCAAGTGCAGTCGCAAAAACCATCAAGTGCTATGATGAAACTGTCTCTCATGAGGACCGCCACAGGAATGGAAGACCCAGAGTTACCTCTGTTGCAGAGGATAAGTTCATTAGAGTTACCAGCCTCAGAAATTGCAGCCCAAATAAATGCTTCACAGAGTTCAAGTCACAGACACATCTCAACATCAACTGTTCAGAGGGGACTGTGTGAATCAGGCCTTCATGGTCGAATTGCTGCAAAGAAACCACTACTAAAGGACACTAATAATAAGAAGAGACCTGCTTGGGCCAAGAAACACGAGCAATGGACATTAGACCGGTGGAAATGTGTCTGCCGTGTCTTTGTGAGACGCAGTGTGTGTGAACTGATGATCTCCGCATGTGTAGTTCCCACCGTAAAGCATGGAGGAGGAGGGGTTATGGTGTGGAGGTGCTTTGCAGGTGACATTGTCTGTGATTTCTTTAGAATTCAAGGCACACTTAACCTGCATGGCTACCACAGCATTCTGCAGCGATACGCCATCCCATCTGGTTTGGGCTTAGTGGGACTATAATTCGTTTTTCAATAGGACAATGGCTCAATACACTCCAGGCTGTGTAAGGGCTATTTGACCAAGAAGGAGAGTGATGGAGTGCTGCATTAGATGACCTGGCCTCTACAATCCCCCGATCTCAACCCAATTGAGATGGTTTGGGATGAGTCGGACAGCAGGGTGAAGGAAAAGCAGCTAACAAGTGGTCAGCATATGTGGGAACTCCTTCAAGACTGTTGGAAAAGCATTCCAGGTGAAGCTTGTTGAGAGAATGCCAAGAGTGTGCAAAGCTGTCATCAAGGCAAAGGGTGGCTATTTGAAGAATCTCAAATATAAAATATATTTAGATTTGTTTAACACTTTTTTGGTTACTACATGATTCCATATGTGTTATTTAATAGTTTTGATATCTTCACTATTATTCTACAATGTAGAAAATAGTAAAAATAAAGAAAAACCCTTGAATGAGTAGGTGTGTCCAAACTTTTGAATGGTACTGTATATTTTGGGCACTAATATACTACAGTATACAATTTAAGAGTTTACATTCAGAATTTGAAACATAAACAATAAATGTATGTAGTGTATGAGAGTTACTCACATTTTCCAACTGAGCCAGGAAGTTGTTCCCAATAGAGAGAACGTGTAGGTTTAGGAGTGTGTCCATGTTCTCAATGACAGAGATTCTGTTGTTGTACAGACTCAAGTCTTCCAACTTCACCAGAGAATCCAACCCCTCGATCCCCTCAATGTTATTGAATGACAAATCTAGAGGAGAAGAGGAGAGAGAGAGAGAGAGAGAGAGAGAGAGAGAGAGAGAGAGAGAGAGAGAGAGAGAGAGAGAGAGAGAGAGAGAGAGAGAGAGAGAATATTGATCATTAGGCCATAGTTGCCTTGTATCAGTGAAGGGCTTGTCTTTTAGTGAAAAACAATACAGTCATCTTGATCTAGCTATATACAGTTTAACACATACATTCTGTCTAATATTTACTGTATGTGGAACATATTCAGGGTCTGTGAGAGACGCCTTTCATACCTAGCCACTTCAGATTAGTGAGGCGCCCCAGTCCTTCAATCTTCTCAATGATGTTATTGTCCAGTTGTAGCTTGGTCAGAGACGTGAACTGCCACAGGTGGTCAATCTTCAGGATGTCTATGGACAAAAATGTCAAATAATATGGACATAGGAATAAAAATTATTTCCACTGCAACTATTGCCCTTCTCTCTGTGGACAACAGACATTACATTTAAGTCATTTAGCAGACGCTCTTATCCAGAGCGACTTACAGTTAGTGATTACATATATTTGTTATACTGGCCCCCCGTGGGAATCGAACCCACAACCCTGGCGTTGCAAACGCCATGCTCTATCAACTGAGCTACATCCCTGCCAGCCATTCCCTCCCCTACCCTAGACGACGCTGGGCCAATTGTGCGCCGCCCATGAGTCTCCCAGTCGCGGCCGGCTGCGAAAGAGCCTGGATTCGAACCAGGATCTCTAGTGGCACAGTTAGCACTGCGATGCAGTGCCTTAGACCACTGCGCCACTCAGGAGTATGACATGCCTGCATCAAAAAGTATGCAGATGATTGAAGAACATCAACATCTGTCAAATGTCTTACTCCTGTAGTCTAGGCGCAATTGGCAGACTTCGTCATACTGGATGCCCTCCTCCTTGGCAATCCGCCCAGCCTGGTCTTGAGGGCCTTGCTCCTCCACTGCCATCTGCAGCAGCTCCTCGTCCACCAAACTGGGCTCCGCGGTATCATATAGCCTGCTCATCCTGCTAATGTCTCTGGATCCCCTGACTCTGTACCCTGTACTGTTACTGTGGAGAGAAGGGCAGGTCAATATCAAATGCTGCATTCAATGCCACTGTCTGACGGTGGTTGTAGGTTTAAACAAAGGTTCTTCTGATTGATAAACAGGGAGTCTCAGTGTCATCACAATCCTGCCAGGTAGCTTTGTAGAGTTGAGTGGCTGTTTTGCAATAACAAATAAACACAAACTGTATCTAATGCATTTATGCATTTATGCTAGGTTAACTCGCTAACGTTAGCTACAGTAGCTAGCTATAACTCTTGTAAACAAAAGTTTATGTAGCTACAGTACCTAGCCAGCTAGCACTTCTTCAGCAGCAGCACAACTAAGCCAGAGCTGAGTAACCTAATTTCTGCTAAATGAAAAAGGTATCAGATTGCTTTCTCTCACAAGCTGCTGTTTTGAGAGACCACAAGAAAACCAAACAACAAAGTAATTTGAAAATAAATGTATGTTATCAGCCTCGTACTTTTCAAACCCACGTCTGCTGCTCAAAGATGTATACTGTTGCTTAGCAACTAGGCAGCAGGACAAGGCTATATTCAACACCGAAATGTTTATAGCTAGCTGAACAGCTTTAAACAGTTTCACAGAGGATACAGTTGCTATATGCGATATGCACTATGCACTATGCAAACCAATGTAAGCATAAATCATTATTATGAGGTTTCTTTGTGAATATTATGTACTTAATTACAATTATTAGAATCAAGGGTATCATAAATGTTTATCTCTTTTAGTCAGGATCAGAGCCGTATTGGTCAGGATTTCCTGAATGATGCCATGTAATCCACAGTTTATCTAGCTAGTTTATCCCATCAACTGCAGTATGTTAGAAATGATCATGATATTCAGAATCAATTCATTTACATTTACGTCTTTTAGCTGACGCTCTTATCCAGAGCGACTTACAAATTCACTCAAACATCAACAATAGTTTGATAGTACAGATTGTAGGGAAAGGTTTAAAGTAATTTTCCCAAACAATAATACTTTATTTTTAACATTAAATAACATGAACAGTAACGTTAAAATAGATCACATCCAGCAAAAGCTTGGATCTTGTGCATAGATAGCTATCTCTAGTGTTGGTGGTGAACATACCCTGAATAGCTGCTAATTTTGATCGACAATAAATACAGCCATACAGATTGATATCTCAGTTTTATCTTCCAATGTGGTTGCTCAGTGGGAGGGACTTGCAGATAATGCACCTCTCTTCCAGCCGCTGTCATTCGGTTCGTATTGTTTGTTGTCATAAAGATGGAGTTCTTACTGGGCAATCCGTACAGCACTCCTGTGGGACAGTGCATTGGTAAGTTACCAGCTATGGATGCTGTTTAATCAGGTTTTATAAAGTCATAATGTAAGGTTTGAATGTTGACTTATTGTACGGCATTCAGAAGCACCAGTGACGAGCTAAGCTAGCTAGCCACCTAGCTGTAGCATCATCGGCCAGCTACACATAGAACGTTATAAATATATCGGTTCGCGGCTACCCATGCATAAAAATATAGTATTATTGTTTGGGGAAATGACTTTAAACCTTTCCCTACAATCTGTACTATCAAACTGTTGTTGTTTGAGTGAATTGATTCTGAATATCCAGATCATTGATGGGATAAACTAGCTAGATAAACTGTGGATTACAGTTCGCTAAGCTAACTGGAATCAGGGCAGCACATTTCCTGAAAGTAATCATTTGTTCCAAATTAAGCGAAATGATTTCACAAGGGTGTTTTCTACTGGATTCTCCTTTGTTTTGAAACGCAATGATACAACAGCTGGGTAACAGTTTTTCAATTGAAATTGTTCATCAATGTGCTGTCTCATTTGCCAATTAGTGTTTTCCTTACATGACACTGACTAGTGTTTTTAAACGAATTAATTAATTCACATTCGAACAGTTGGTCTGTATTGTGTAAACTCGTACACACACTCAGTGGTACAGTCATGAAATTGATTATGGAAGGGAATAAACGGGAAGATACGTCATTTGACCTTTGACTATGCTGGAAACTGCAGACAAATCACAATGGGCTTTCTCACAAATACTGATGACACATTAGCAAAACACCCTTCAAAGATGATTCATTGTCAGTAACACTGCAGCTTCACAGTTCACGTAGGGCCTTACTTCTATTACGAGAAGATAGACTTGCATTGTCAAAACCACAGGCCAGGTGGCTATGTTTGCCAGCTTTTCTGCGATTACACAAACACAGCTTACCTTGATTATGCCAATAAACACTAAATAGTGCCCTAGGTTCATACTTAGGCCTTATAGGGCATGCAAAACATATGCATAGTGAATGCCTGATTTGATAGGCTTGGTCCACTGTGTAGTGTGCATAGATATTCTACCTACTGTACTAATAACCAGCTTTACGAACAACTCTAAGGCTTTTATAATCATAGTCATAATATCTTAAGGCTCAGTTAGCCTAGTTCGTTTACCCCTGCAACAGGTGTAACTGGCTCAGTCTGTGGACATTTCCCCAGGCCCTGCTCCCGGCCTGTGATTTGGGAGATAACAGAATGATAATAACTGAGTGATCCCTGCGGTTGGGATTGGTCTAGATGTGGTAAAGCAGGAATAGTTTTTCACTTCTAGGTCAGGAGGGTCTATTATAAACCCTCTGCTAGCGTCATTATAGGCTAGCTGCTTTTGAGGACTGTTTAACAAGTGTGGACTTCTAAGTTCTGTGGCTATATACTCAGCCTTGCGTTTTATCACTGGTGATAATTTCCATAAGCATCATTGTCTCTTACGTAGTTGGTTGGGAGTCTCTGACTACCAGAAGGAGCCAACATTGGCTATTATTCAGATATAAAGCACTTTTCCAGAAACTCCCCTACTACCTCACCTCAGTTCTACATTGGAAATCGAGTAACTATAAGACTCTAGACTAGTTGGTACTAGAGGTTCCGCAGGTCTCCTCTGAGTTAGGGAAGACTGCTTTCAGTTACTATGCCCTTCTGGTCTGGAATGACCTACAGGTCACTCTAAAATGTGATTATTTGGTCCCAAAAGGTGAATTTGTTGTTCTCAGGGCACCATTGCAAATGAGACCCTGGTCTCAATGGGTTCCCCTGGTTAAATAAAGGTTAATAATAAAAAAATACAATGGACTGTTGCCAACCCCAGGTGGTGCAGACTGTGTGATAAAGTGTAGTCTGGCCAGAAAGAGAGTGAAGCTGAGGCTGGGCTGAGATATGATGTGGTTGTGATGAGTGGATGGGACTGGACTGAGGCTAGGTAGGGCTGTACTGGGCCTATGTACCCTCAGGCAGGGACAGTGTGCTTCATTGATAGTCACTGATTATCTAACAGCACGTCTACATCCACAGCAAAACTATTGAATTGGCGATTGCACGAACAATGGAACATGTCAGAATGCTAACCAGGGCTCAGTGGATAGAATAGTTAGGCTATAAACGTTTTATAAAGGCCTTAGCTACAGCTATATAAATATCCTATGTTATAAAGGTCTTTGTACTTTATCATTACAGCTCAAGGCCTTAGCTACAACCATAATTATCCTATGTTATGTTATAGGACTGTACAGGGCATAAAATTCACTTTTTGGTCCACCAGCCACTGTGGCAGGTAGATTAAAAAAATCTATCATCCACTCAGATTTTTTACCAGTTGAATAAAAAAAAAAAAAACTGCTAAAAGTACACGAACAAAACACAAAAAACAGATGAGCATGCTTTGTAAAACAATACTTTAAAAAAATGAATATTTCACTCAGCTCTTCACGTGTGCACAGCCCCCAGCCAGGCAGTGTTGCAGCGCGAGGTGGAATAGGCTATATAGGATTCGTAGTTCATTGATTTTGTGCAATTAATTTACCAGCTATGAAACAAAACGGCAGAAATACTTTTACAACTTTGAAAAAAACTACTGGAGCATTTATTTTACTATAAATGTGATCATACTTGACTTGCGACTGCGAGTGAAATGCTCGCACTGTGGAGCCCTGACCACCCGCCAATGTGGCTGGTGAAATAGACATCTTACCCACCAATGCCAAAATCTACCCACATTTGACAGGTGGCAGGTGTTAATTTTAGGCCCTGATACTGTATCCTTACAGTTCAAGGCCTTAGCTACAACCATAACTGTCCTATGTTATAAAGGTCTTAGTACTGTATCCTTACAGCTCAGTTGAGATCTTGTATAGCCTAGCCTAACAAACTAGATATAAGACAAGGTGGGGGGTAAGCTGTCCTCTCTGCATTGTCTCTGAGAGAACTGCCTAGGAATTCACCCAGGCAGATTGCACAAACAGTTTCTCATGCATTCAGTCCAGTTTCTCATGGTTAGGCCTAGCCTATTTCCGAAGATGAGATATCGATGTCTGAAGCTGATAATATCCACAGGTTATTAGCCCCTAGTCATGCATCTGTGTGAAATCGAATGGGAACAGGTCATGGGTCTACTCTTGAGGAAGGAAGTTAGCCTGGTTCCAGATATGTTTGTGCTGTCTTGCCAACTCCATTGGTCATGGTCACAATCTGGGACCAAGCTAGAAGGAAGTTGGTCTGAAGAGGTGCAGAAGAAGGGTCTTTCATTGCTGTGAGTGTAGCCTACAGGCCAGGGTGTGGCCCCTTGCCCTGCTTCCCTGGCCAGCTTGGTGCCAAGTCATCCAAGATGGCCGCCGCTGAACACCACCACACCAGCTAGGCTAAGTCACTACTACCATCATCGTTGTCAGCTCCGAGAGAGGTCTGCTCAGGTCACTGCCCACTGTGCCCAGCAAGCAGCAGACTGGATCTTTAATTTCTTTAGGAACTACTAGCTTTAAATAATAATCCCCAGTGTGTTATCTCTCTGGTTGAGTGCTCACTGTGCTGTCCATATAGCCGTCTGTCTGTTCATATAGCCTGTCTGTCTGTGTGGATGCAGAGCTGGTAGTGAGAGTGGTACCCAACACCACAGTACAGCAGCAGCA